TTTTTTTTTTTTTATTTGCATTCACGCCCAACAAGGCTGTAAGCAACCACTATCAAGTTGGGAGTTACTAGGAAAAAAAAGAACAGAGTTATAGAGCAAGGAAACGGTTGACAGAAGACTTGAAAAGTTGAAGGTTGTATGAGTCAGGAAAACATGAAGATGGGAGAGAGTTCCAAAGGATTGAAGTGCGCGGAAAAAAACTAGATGAATAAAAGTTTTTAGAACATGCAGGGACAGATACAGTAAACGAATGAGACTTAGCTGAATGACGAGTAAAACGAGAATGAATTTTAGTTGATGGAACTAGAGATGATAACTCCTTTGAGCAGTGACCATGATAGTATTTGTAGAAAAGAGAAAGAGATGCAACTTAATTAAGGCCTTCAAAGAGATGCAACTTATTTAAGGCCTTCATTTCTCTCAGAAATGGTTCTCAGTTTGAAAAACAATTTTCAAAATTAATTTAGCAAGCTGCATGTTTCTGATGCTGGCAAAGAGATTTAAGATTAGTTTTGTGCGCGCTTCCCCATACAATATTTGCATAATTTAAATGGCAGTGGATAAACGAATAATATAGTTGTTTTAATTATTGTTTATTTAAAATATGCCAAACTTTATATAAATCTAAATATTATCAACAAAGTTGTAAACAAGTTTGGACAACAAAAAAATAGGCTTGAGTTGCTCTTTTAGAAACAAAGTGAATGGCTGTTTATATATAGTTGTAAGTTGTAAAATGTAAATGTCTAATTATAATTTAAAAATTTTAAATAAAAACTAGTTTTTTGCGTTTTTTCTTATTATTAAAAGATTTTTTTAAAATATTTTTTTCTCAATTTCCTTTTTTTTTTCAAAAGTTAGGGGAGTGTACGTGCACCTACTTGCACCTTGCCGTTGCCCATGATGTATATACATACAAATATATATATATACATATATATATATATATATATATATATATATATATATATATATATATATATATATATATATATACAAAATTTATATATATATTATATATATATATATATATATAAATGTATATATATATATATATATTATAGTAATATATATATATATACATATATATATATATATATATATATATATATATATATATATATATATATATATAATATATATATATATATATATACATATATACATATATATATATATATATATGTATATATATATATATATATATATATTTATACAAAATTTATATATATATTATATATTATATATATATATATATATATATATATATATATATATATAAATATATATATATATATATATATATATATTATAGTAATATATATATATATATATATATATATATATATATTCATATTTATATGTATATATATATATATATATATATTTATATGTATATATATATATATATATATATATATATATATATATATATATATATATATTATATATATATATACATACAAAAAAAAATATATATATATATATATATATATATACAAAATATATATATATACATACAAAATATATATATATATATATATATATATATATATATATATATATACAAAATATATATATTATATATACAAAATATATATATATACAAAATATATATATTATATATATATATATATATACATATATATACAGGCCCATCTTAACACATGCCCCGCTTAGGCAGCCGCTGCGGGGCCAGGGCATTTAGAGAGGCCAGCAAGGAATCAAATTTCTTTTTTAATAAAATTTAATAATAAAAGTAAAAGTGCAATGGCGCTTTTTTTAATTATTTAAAATTTTTTTTATTTACTAAAACAACCATAACTCCTACATAAATAATTTTTAAATTTTTTTTTAACCCACTGATCGAATCAGAAAAAAGTTCTCTTTTCATAATTTTTTTATACATTATACTTTTCGGGTTTAATTTATTTCGACGATAAGAAAAGTTTACAAGATTAAGCAAATACAAATAAATAAATACATGGCTGGGGCAAGAAAAAGACAAATTCAGTCTTTTTTTTTTTTTTTTTTTGTTTTAATTTTATTTTATTTTGCTGTTTATATAAGTTACAATTTCCTTTCACCAAAAATAAAATATAATTACAAGTATACAAATAATAAACAGACAGAGGCTCAAAGAAGAGAAACATCATAATAATAATTTATGGTAATATATGGTTAATAAATCAAGTAGAAAATTTAGGAAAAAAAAAAAAAAAGTAAAAAAGAAGATATAATATTTAAGAATAAAAATAGAGAAAAAAAAGAAGATGTATCATTATATACATTAAAATATATATATTAAAATACATATATACACACATACACATACACACACACACACACACACACACACACACACACACACACACACACATATATATATATATATATATATGTATATATATATATATATATATATATATATATATATATATATATATATATATATATATAATATTATATATATATATATATATATATATATATATATATATATATATATATATATATATATTATGATACAAATAGTTAAATAGGTATAATATTAATAAATATTAATAGTTAGTTAGTTAGTAAGTATTTATTGCTATAACTGGAATGGCCAGTGAATGAGCATGCTTTTAAGCACATTTTGACAGCCACTTCGATTAATTGTTGTTTGTCCAACAGTCGAACCGTGCTTTAAAGGAGTTTACTGACGATGAATTGACTAGTTCTAAAGGCAATGAGTTCCATAAGTTTCCCAGTCTATTATAAAAGAAATTATGTCTTAGCAGATTTTTTGTTGTTTCCCTATAATATTTGAAACAGTGACCTCTAGCATGATTTTGAATAGTTTGTAAGTTATGCTCTGTTCTATTAACATTGTTCATTATTTTGAATAGTTGGATCATATCACCTCTTTCTCTTCGTTTAGTTAAGTTGTCAATTTCAAAACTTTTAATCAATCTTCATAACTGAAACAATTAATTGATTTAATCAGTTTGGTGGCTCGACGCTGCACTTGTTCAATTACTTTACAGTCACCTTATTGATACGGGGACCATACTGGAACTGAGAATTCTAGAAAAGGTCGAATAAATTTTACATAGAGTGATTTAAGTAAATAACAGTCCAATCTTGTAAATGATTTTTTGATTCGACCTAACATTCTATTTACGTTATTTGTTACAGACATATCTTTCCACTTGAGATTTTTATAAAATATTACACCTAGATCTTTTACGCTGTTTGATTCTGGTGACTTTATGCCATTAGTATATAGAGGGTTCTTTTTGTTGTTTACTCCATAAAATTCCATTTATCAACATTGAACTTTAAAAGCAAGTCTTCTGCCCATTTAAACAATACATCCAAATCCCTCTGCAGACTTGAGGTACAACTTAAGGTACACTAAAGTTACCTTGGACAATTTTTTTTGTCTGCTATTAGAATTGTAACAATTTCCTTTTTTTCAATACCTTTTTGAAATTTAAAAAAAAACTTTTCTCCGTTACAGTTTGTATTAGCAGCAGAGAGAAAGATCCTTAGAACAACACTGACATCAGAGAATGGATTCAAGTTTCTTTGATTAAATAACCAGAAGTAAATTGAGATAATTTTTTTTTTTTGGATTCACTAATATTAGTTTTAACTGAATTGGGAACAAAGTTCTTGTAATGCAGTTTTTTATTCAGAATATAAATGTCCGCATTGTTCAGTAAATTTATAAAAGTTCTTTAGCGCACGCTAAAGATGATCACAACAGAATCCTTATCTAAAAGACGGACAAAGAATCGAAAATAAGAGAAGCATAAGCTTGTCTTCTCAGTTACTAGTTGATCCATGGTTCCATGGTGACCTGAAATTATAACCTCAGAAACCATATTTCCTTTCCTAATAAAGTCTGATACCACAATAAACGTCAATTCGTCATGTTTCCGTTTACGGGCTCAACAGAGCAGTAACGGATCTAGGGGGATAGGGTAAGTCCATTCTGGATCCGTCACATAGTTTCATCCCAGATGTGTACAATGCAACAAACAAATTTTCTTTCGCCAACATAAATTAAAAAAAAATTTAACTTTTATAAAAAAAAATTCTTAAAAAATTCTTTGTTTAAAATGAAAGAAACATAATAAAAGAATTAATTAAATAAATTGTTAAATATTCAAATGAAAGAAACATATTTTAAGCAATATTAAAGCGTAATATAACCAAATGAATAAATACAAATGCAAAAGATTTTTGATGGAATTTTGTTCAATTTGTTTTAAATTTACAAACCTTTTAAATTTATAAATTCAAAGGGTTTATAAATGTTAAACAACTAAAGAAAAACTACATCAAAAGCCTTTTTTATTTAAATTGATATACTTTTGAATACATTACACTTTTGTGTGTGTGTGTATATATATATATATATATATATATATATATATATATATATATATATATATATATATATATATATATATATATATATATATATATATATATATATATATATATATATATATATATATATATATTATGATATATATATATATATATATATATATATATATATATATATATATATATATATATATATATATATATATATATATATATATATATATATATATATATATGTATATATATATATATATATATATATATATATATATATATATATATATATATATTTACTTATACATCTGCACAGAGCCGTAACTAGCCTCTGCCCCCAAAAAAATTTGTTAAACTATAATTATTAGGGAAATATATATTTTTTAGGGCTTTTCCCCTGCTATGTTTGGGCTTCTCCCTATCTCTGGGCGTCTAAAATGGGTACCTAAAAATTAAAAAAATAAAAATTGTCTTGAATATGTAATAAGGGCCCCCCTAATATGAAAATTGTGGTTACGGCTCTGTCTGCATTACACCTTACTTTACAGGGCTTAAAATAAAAAATGTCTTATATAAAAATATCTTATTTTTCTCTTAATTTCAGAACCGCTAATTACCATTATTTTTACGGTAACCAAAATACTAAAATTGTAGGGAATTTAACCCATCTTCGCATCGAATTCTTTCAAAATGGCAGAAAAATATGATTTAACATCACGCGTTGGAGCTTACTTAGATAGACATTTGGTTTTTCCTCTTTTAGAGTTTCTGTCAAGCAAAGAAGTAAATATATATATATTCTTACGTATTACCAAAATGTGTTCTAGTCCAAGTTAAATATAGTTGTAAAATAGTTAGATAGCTTTTATGTTCAAATAGTACAAATGATTTTAAATGTATAATTTTGCATACAGATCTACAATGAAACTGAACTTCTTAAAGGTCGTCTGGAACTTCTTCAAGGAACGAATATGGTAGATTTATGTTTTACTTAAGAATTTTAAATTTATATATATATATATATATTTATTATAAATTTATATATATATTATATTTATATATATATATATATATATAAATATATATATATATATATATATATATATATATATATATATATATATATATATATATATATATATATATATATATATATATATATATATATATATATATATATATATATATATATATATATGTATATATATATATATATATATACACACACACACACACGCACACACTCACACACACAGAGAGAGAGAGAGAGAGAGAGAGAGAGAGAGAGAGAGAGAGAGAGAGAGAGAGAGAGAGAGAGAGAGAGAGAGAGAGAGAGAATAAAAAAAAACAGAGAAATTAACTTTTTTGTAGACTCAATGGCATGGTGTTAAAAAGGTTTTTTATTTTTCAATTAACTAAAAAATTGAAAAACAGAAATCTTTATTTATTTTGTAATTGTAATAAAAAAAATTAAATATTTTTTTTAATGGCAAATGTAAATTAAACATTTCATTAGAGTGTATTGTTCTTGATTTTAATTTGTTATTATTTTCAATCTAAATTACCAGAAAATTTGTAAAGTTATCTAGAAAGGATGAAGAGAGGGCTAGGGATGGCACTGCTCTTCAGTCAATTTATTTACATTATTCTATTTTAGTATACATCAGTAAAGTTTTGTGTTGACTCAAACCATTAGTAATTCTTCTGATTGTCTCAGGGGTATGCTATTCTAGTTTGTGATGTAAGAGTCTAAAGGTTTTACTTGTTGGCCATAGGTTTATAAAAAGATCTAGGCTTCTGTCTCTTATAGTTTAAGAAAAAAAAGTAAAATTTCAATATATAGGAGCCTGGATATTTTAATTTATAAATGAATTACCTCTTTATTTATCCTAGCTTAATCTTTATTTGTCTTTTTTTAATTTATCTAAGTAGGGAATTTTTAATAGATAGGTGTTATATAGTTTAAAACTAAAGCTAAGCCTATACCACCATTTATGTTGTGCTAACACTGAAAAGAGTTGATTGTTCTGTCTTATCCTTTTATGCTCCTCAAAAAAAAATTGTTATTGGTGAAATTTTTAAAAGTTAATGCAAAAGTATGTAGTTAGTATAAAAAGTTAATAAAAAAAATGACCACCTAAGTTTTTGTTAAGTGTGCTCCGCTTGAATGCTAAGTTAAGCTGGGAAAATTGGTAGCAAAATTCCACTTTTGTACCTAATATTGTTTATAAAAGATTATTTTAAATTTATTGACTGTTAATGGTACACATGGGTTATATCATAAATAATTTTGAAAATCAATCATTTTAAAAGAAATGAGTTAATATAAATGTATTTTGTTATCAGAACAAACAATATAAACTTGGTAATCAATTCTTTAAATTTTGATTGTAGTTGGATTTTGTAAAAGATGAATATCAAAGACTTCATCAAGTTGAAGAGGTTCCCCAAGGTCAATTATTTATGATTAAATATAATCAAAAAATTGCTTTGAGATTAGATTTTTCTTATTAACTTAATTTATTTTTTAACCAATAGAGTTACTTGAAAAGCGTCAAGAAGTTATCCACCAAATGAAGGAATTAGAAGCTGCAACTGAATCTATTACTACTGCATTTGAAGATCCAGATTTTCAAGTTGAAGCTGCAAGTGCAAGGTACAATATTTTCTAAAATTTTGCAAAAACATCAACACTCCATTATTGCAATTTTAACATTATTCAAGTTATTGTGTTCCAGCAGTTTTTGAATGGTGTGCAAAACATAGAAGCACTAACCAGTGTTTCTATGTTTTGTATATTGTTCAGACATATTTAAAGATAATATTAGTAATTAACTTTATTAAATTTAATTTGAATATATATTTTTAAAATAAAAGTACTTATATTAAAAAAAAAGGAAATAAAATTCAAACAAACTAATTTAAAAACATTTACAAAATTATAAGTTATTAATAGAGCATATCAAAAATTTGCTTCCATCTGCTTCGGTTTAACATTTCTTAAATAAACCCACAGAATTTACAAAAATATTACAAAAGCTTATTATGCATGTACTATGGAGTGCTATTGCATAATCTTTAACTGTTTTTAATGCTTTAATTTTTAGAATGATTATTGTTTTTTGACTTGTAACAATAATTGTTACAAGTTAAAAACAATTGTTAAAAGAATGACACTGTTAAGTTAAAGTGTCTTATCTGCTAATTTTAGCATAATTAAGAGATAAATAATGGAAGGCTTTTTTTATTTATTTAAAATACTACATATATTAACCTACCTTTAAAATATATTTTGTTAACAATTATTAATTCCTTTATGTCTTTTAAAAAGATAATTTTATAGAAAATAAAACTTTCTTTTTTAACTTTTTTGGTGATATTGATTTAAACAATTATGATGTTTCAGAAAATTATAATTTGAATAACATTTTATAACAAATTGATCTTATTCAAAGAGACTTCATTTAAAGAATTTATGTTAAAATTAGGATTGTGTATGTTGTATAGAGACAGTATACACACAGCATACACTGTATAGACTGAGCATACACAGCCCAGTTCACCATACAGTGGCATGCTGGCTTCAAGAAGGCTATGCAAGATTTTTAAAAAAGGCCTAAATTTGCGGGATTTTACCATGTATACTTTATTTGAAGGCCCATAAACAATGTGGAAAATAATGGCTGTTCAACATTCAACGACCGCCTGAAATGACTAAAATTGTTATTTTAACCTCCCAAAATAAATTTTTGCCAGTCATTATTGACCGGTTGAAGAAAAAATCAGAGTTTTGAAAAACAAGGTCTTGAAAATAATCATGATATAATTTGTAAAATGCATATACATAAATTTCATAAAATCTATTAAAATTTCATTTTAAATAAGCATTTAAAATGGTTTTATTGTTTATGACATGCTACTTTAATTTGCTTTGTTGACAAATTTTGTGACATAAACTATTTTTATTTTTTATTTTTTGCTTAACTTATTTAAATTACTTTCAAGAATGATTGAAGGTCATATTTTATTATTGTTTTAATAAAAATATTTAATGGACAATTTTTATTATAATATAAAAATATATTTTTGCTTTTAAATGTCACTATTTTTTTTTATTTAAATCTATTTATTTTCTTGTAAGTTTTTGCTGCAAATGTAATAAATAAATGAATTGGTAAATTTAAAATTTTCTATAATAGGATTCTTAAAAATATATATGTTTAGTAAAATCTCTTTTTATGTAATACTGGTAATTTATGTAGTGTTTCATAAAACAATTGTCTTCTTAGTATTAAGTATCAAATTTAAATAGTAAAAAATTTGTGCACTGGTGTTAATAAAGTTACAAATATCTAATTTTTACAGTTTTTTTTTTTTTTTTTTTTTTATAATTTTCTTTTTTTATGAAGAAATAATAAATCAAAAATAAGAAAATTTTGTAATAAATATTTAAAAAATAAACGTATAAAAAATAATAAAGGATTTAAACTAATAAAAATAAAAAACAAGAAAAAAACAAACAAACATAAAATCAAAGTTAAAAGAAAAATGTATTCAAAAATTGACAATAATAAAAAAGAACTGAAATTTTTTCAACTGTCAATATTTTACTGAAAGAAAAGAAAAAGAACAATTTTAATTAAATTTGTACATTGTTTATATGCCGTTTATTTGTCTGTAAAAAATGTTGAATGTGTTTTTTTTTCTGTCAATTTAGTTGTTACTTTTTCTATATCTTGATATTTAACTAATCTATGTAATGCGTAATATAGGCTTTAATATTGTATGTAGTAGTTGTATGTATATATATTTTTTATTTAAGTTTGCCTCTATTTTGCTTTTTTTATATTTTTTTGTTAAAATTTTTTTTCTCTCACTCTATCCTTCTGAACTTATATGATTAAACAATTTTTTGTTTTCTTTTACATTTTTTTCTCGTTCATCTTATCTCATCCGTTCATTCTTTCTTTTTTTTTTTCTTTTTTCTTAGCCTCACTCCTTTATATTTTTGTTCTGATTCAAACTTTTTTAATATTTTGTTCCTATTACTTCTTTTTTTATTACTTGTATTAATATAGTTTACTTTCTTTATTATTTCCTTGTTTTAATATTTTTAATATTTTATTTGTTTATTTTATTAAGGTGTCACTCCATTGACTAGTTTTTAACTATATGAGTGACACCAAACCTAACTTTGTAAATTATAATCAAATTTGTAATTTTTGATTTTATAGTTAAATAAATGGATAAAAGAAATATTTTTTATCTCTGCTCATTAACATCAGAGATAAAATTATTATTTAAAGTTTAATAATTTAACAATAATTTAATAAAAAATGATGAAATTATTGTTTACAATTTTTGTATGTAACTAAGAGCATTTTCTTTTCCAAATGTACTTTTTTTTTTTTTTTTGAAACTTTTTCCCGCCGAAGTGAGGCCATTGCATGTAATAAATTATTTTAAAATAAATTTTAAGTTATCAATTGCGTCTTTACTAACGTTTTTCCCTTTCTATTATTGAGTTGTAATAGAAACATCAAATGTCTACTCGTCTTAATGAAGGCAAATAAAAAGACAAACAATGCTTTTATTTTTCAAAAACATTCATAAAACGATTTCTATTAAGTATTAAGTATTCAGTTAAAATTTTTTAATATTGTATAAAATTTGTTTTGATATTAAAAAAAAAAATTTAACATTTGATATTATCAAATTTCTTTTTTAAATTGAATTAAACTTTGTGTGTGAGAGCGTTATTTTAAACAAATTTGCTTTAGCAGGTAATATGAACGTTAGTTATTTGCAAGTTTAAATTTAAAAAATACATCGATTTTATTTAAAATGATTATTTTAAAAAGAATATGAGTTCATTAATTTTTGAGCATTAAATATTAACAAACTTTTTTGTGTATTTAGTTTCAATTTAGAAGAACTATTACTCATATGAAAATTTAAACAAAGAAAAAAATATAAATTTTGACTGTCCAAAAGAAATAATTGACCGTCAATTCCATGTGTTAGCTGGTCAAATTAACTGCTCGCCTTTGATTTCTCATTTTCCATGCTGCATAAATATAAAAATGCTATGTTTTATTAAGACATTCAACTTAGTATTTAAGTAAACTAATTTTTGTAAACTAAGTAGTGTTATATTGCAGGGCTCCAAACAGTCACCGAACAGTGGATATTCGATGCCCGGCACATTTTTGGTAAAAAATGACATCTATCAATCATTTTATTCGACCCATAATTTATATGCATTTATTTTATAATTTTAGTTGTTCCAAAATTATTATTGATTGTTGTAAATAAACTTCATTTTTTTCACTTTTTATTTTTATACATAACAGAAATTGAAGTTGAACACACAGCTACATAAATAAAATACATAATTTTAGAGTCCATTCATTTTTTAAAAGATGTTAAAGCATTACATTTTTTGAATTAAGTAGCCTAGTTTTTATTTATATAAAGCCAGGTTCAGTCATAATAGCCTGGTTCATTTATATTAATATGTTGCAATTAGTTATTATTATTAGTTATTATTAGAAAAATTTATATATATATATATTCTGATGGTTTTTAGAAATTCCAAACAAATGTTTTAGCTTTTAAAACCCCTTTTAAATTTATTTTATAAAAATTTTAACGTAATAGTTATTTTAATGCTTATAGAAACCAGTACTTTTTATTGCACTATTAATTTTGGGTTGTTATGTACCATTTGCTTTTTCGCCAAAGTTTTTCTATATTAAAAATGTTTATAAAACTAATCATAGATAAAGTTTGATAATATTTTTAAAAAACTACATGTTTATATAAATGTGATTACATAAAATATTCTTTGATAATTAAAATAAAATAGGTTTATTGTAAACAATCATAAAAATTAATTTGTTCCTTTATTTAATAAAGTAATATTTATGATTTATAGTAATAAAGCATTTATATAGCAATAATAAATTATTATAATAAAGCATTTCGCATAGTATAATAATTTTTTAAAAACATAATATAAATATTTTTTCCTTTTCAAATTTTATTTTTTTGAGCTTAGATTTTTTCTTTTTCTTTAAGATTTTCTTTTTTTAGATAAGTTATCTTATAATTTTAGTTTTATTTTCAGCGCACTTTTAAAACGCCTTAAAACGAGTTGTAAGAACAAAATATTTTATGCAAGGTCAGGAATGGGGTTCGATTGCACTTCTTTGGACACTTGAGTATTTATTGGAAAAATTCTCCGGAACAAAAAAGTTTTTTATTTCAAGCCCTGCATTGTGTTAATCAAAAAAATTTAACCCTTTAACAGTACCATGTTTTTTTAAAATGGTCGCGATTAGTCCAGCTTTTTTAAAAATTTATCATATTTTTTAACTAATAGATTAAAAAATGTTTTTTACTATTTTTAACATTAATAAACACTACAAAATGTTATTATTCAAGTTTAAGAATATATAATCATATTACATAAATATAAAATTTTAAAAATGTATTCACTAATATTAACTTTTTGTATGATAAATGTTAAAAGCAAGGAGCTGCAAAAAGTCCTACATCACATTCTTAATATTAATATCCTGAACCTTTTTGAATATTGTGTTTGTAACATACTGCACACCATCTTTGAACATTAATCTTTTATTATCATTTTCAATAATCATTCATTAGATATATCTTTTCATTATTGATTCATCAAATGTATAAAATTCTATCTTTTCATGAGTAAATGTTTACTTTTTGATAATTATTTTTGCACTGAAAGAACTTCCTTATTTGTCATATTTAAAATTAAATTGAACACGTTTAAAAGACAATTATTGAAACAAAAGCTCTGCAAATATCTAGTAATAAATTTTGTGACAAGTAGACGTATAATTACTGATGAACAAGAAGAAAATATAAGGAGATGCACAAAACCGTAATATTACGGCATGGACATTTAGAAACCACTTTTAGTTAATAATTACGGTAATGTTACGGCATGGACTATTAACGGGTTAATATTATTGCTTCAAAATGTCATGATTTTAAATGAAGGTCAAATGTTCAGGAAAGTATGGAAAAATCATTGGATAATTTTTATCACCAGATGATTAATTTCTTAAATAATGTTTTGTGTTAAAAATTATTTTATAATGTTAAGTAACTGAACAATATATAATTAAATATATAATTCATGGATTATGAATGCTTTATTGCTATTATAATTAATATATACGGGGCTTGAATGTGTTTGCAAATTGTGACATCTGAAAATGCTTTCAGACTTTAAATTTTCTGATTTTTAAAAACCATAAACTCTGTTTTGATCGCTAAACTCAGTATCTGTTATTCAATAAAAAATATTTGTATTGATCTTGAATTATGATATGAAAGCTTAATATAAAACCATATTATTACTATTATTGAAAATTATGAGTTAAACTTAAATATTTTAATTCATTTTAAAAATCAACAGATAAAACTAGAAAGATAAAGCTTGATAAAGTACAATATAATTATTAAAAAACATTTTTCTTATATAAATCTTATTCAATATTTTCTTATAAATTAAATGCTTGTAACTCGTTTGCAAATGTGTATACAAAATTAAAGACAAAGGAGTTTAAAATATATAAAAACTGTTTTAAAATAAAACAAAAAAACTTGTTTTAAAATATATCTTTTTTATTATTATTTTTATTATCAGATAATTAATTTCTAATTTAAAATATATAAATTTTTTAATAAATAGTTCCTCAAACTTTCCCTCTAAACAAAATCCATTTTAATGTTTCATACAATGTGCTAATTGCTTTCGCATAATTTTTTATTGGTTGATTTTTAAATTTTTAAAATTTTTAAATTATATATAAGTTTGGACTATTTTTTTTGTAGTAGTAATATTGTTTTTTTATTAATTTTTGCAATATGATAAATTGACTGTTACATTAAAACGGTGTTCACCGTTTTTAATAAACTAAGAATTTAATAACCAAAAATATTTCCAGATATTTCAGTTTGCCATCACCAACGGTAATTTACCCATATACCAACTTCTATTTAATATTAAAATTTGCCTGATAACTTGTAAATCTATAAATTCTTCAAGTGTTTCACTTTAGTATACAAAATAATTTAATTGGTAATTACGTTAATACAAAAAAAGTTGTGTTTTTGTTCATGCTATACATTTGAAAGCATTAATTAGACATTAATTAGATTGATTTAAACCTTAGTGCAGTTTCTTTAATTTTTTACATTAGTTAAAAATGACTTATGTGTAGGGATGTACCGGAGTTCTGGCCGGAATTTTTGTCTTTCAAATCAATTCGCTTCTGGCTGAAATTAAAAATTTTTTATCAATTTTTTTAATGACTTGTGACTCAGGCTGTGTAAATAAATCAAAAAGTCATTATCCTACAGAGCAATGAAGAACTATAGGTAAACCGAGATAAAAAATACGAATGTAATTTTTGCAAATGTATTTGCAGTACTACTATTTCTGCAAATAAACTTACATTTGTATTTATTATATAGGTTTATCTATAGTTCTTCATTGCTCTGTAGGATAATGATTTTTTGATTTATTTACACAGCCTGTTTCACATGTCATAAAAAAATTTAGTAAAAAAATATTTTTAATTCCGAACAGAAGCAATTTAATCTAAAAAAATCAAAATTTGGCCGGAATTCCAGTACATCCCTACTCCTGTGACATAATAATAAACATTTTTTGTTACTATTTTTGATTCCGACTTTTGCATTATATTATGCAAAATACTAATTTATTAGTGCTCAAAGTTTAATACTTTAAATCAGATAATAAAAAAAATTATTTGCTGATCATTTAAAGAATATAGTAAAATAATTTTTTATTTGAAAGATCTTTATAAGATAAAAAGCTTAAGGCCTATGGGATTCCCACATAGCTTCTGGGAGCTCTAACGATGACTTAGGTATCTCAGAGTTATTCAATGAATAATTTTATGTTTTTAATTTATATTTTTAACTCTTACCTCAACTAAACCATTAAAAAAATTTTTTTTATAGAGATGGTACAGTATTGTTTAAGTACTTAAATGACAAGTTTGGAATTACTACTGACAATCTTGCAACTCTATACCAATATGCAAAATTTCAATATGAATGTGGCAATTATGCAGGTGCCTCACAATACTTATATTTTTATCGAGTTTTGGTTCATGATGATGATAAAAATGCTACCTCAGCTGTATGGGGAAAATTAGCATGTGAAATTTTAACTCAAAATTGGGATGCTGCACTGGAAGATATTAACAGATTAAAAGAGATAATTGACGGAGATGTAAGTCATTCTATAAATAAGAAAATGGTTAAGATTTTTTGCATGGTTTAAGTTTTTTGTTTTTGTTTTTTAATTTATGATAAAGTATTTTTCTTTCTTGAGAAATATTTAGTGGGATAAATTATTTAAAAACAATTGTAAATTTACTTTTTTATATGAAAAAAGTAATATAAAGTATTTGTTATAGTAAAAAGTATACAATATATATAACACAGGCTTTTAAAATGTTTTTATACTGGTACATTTATTATTATTATTTTATTCTAATAAAATTTCAAAACAAAAAACTGAAGTTACCAACCAAAATGGGAAGTAAAAGTTTCAATAGAATAATAAATAAACAGTTTACATGCCCAAACCAAAACTCTCAGCAAATGTATTGGCACTCCTTGCGTGTTTTATTTATTATTTAGTCAATTATGTGCATTTTTTTTAGAAAAATCATTTGCTTCAAGCGTGAGTAACTATTAGGCCATAAAACTATTATGTGCAAAATTTGAAAAATGCAAGTCTTTCCAAATCTTATTTTAATTTAATTTTTTAAAAATAATTCATAATGAAACATAAACTAATGTGAGTTATATAATGAAGTATAAACTAATGTGAGTAATTAATTAATTTTTAAAATGAGTGTTGGTGTAAAACAATTTTTTCATAGATAATGAAGCTTAATAACTTATTTATTAATTTTTATAAATCTTTAGACATGTTCGAGTCCTGTAATAATGGGTAGTTATACATAAAAGCCATATAATTAAATAAACTTATGTAAATAAAACATAAAAAACATAGTTTGAAATTTTTTTTTAGATATTTTTGCTTTAGAGTTAAAAAAATTGAATTCATCTTTTTAGCTTGAAAACTTCAACTTAACTTCAAGTTAACTGCTGGAATGTTTTAGTTTTGTTTATATTTAAATAATTTTTAATTACTCGTTTCTTTGTAATTCTACCAAAAAATTGTGTCTTTAAAGGGATTTATTTATGTTGATTTTTCAAACTTATTATCCAAATAAGATAGCTGCTAGTTAACTTAAGATTTTGAAATACCTCCATGTTATACCTGTTTGTCAGTCAATGTAGCAGCACTCCTCGCATACAGGCTTGTGGAGCCGGAGCCGGGGAGCCGCTGTTTTTTGGTGGAGCCGGAGCCGCAAAAATTGAGAGGCTCTCGGCTCTCGTGTTTTTTTTAACGGAATAGAATATATGTTTATTTTTTTACTGTAGACAAACTTTATTCATTTATTGTTAAACTGATTTGTTGAATGAATTATTTATTGAACTTCTATTTTTTGAAAATATTTTACTACAAATTTTCTAACAGTTACGGTTATGCCAAAACTTAATAAAAATGTATATTTTAACGATTTTGTGCTCAACAAAATACTATCCTTTAATAAAATTTCTTAATACTCTTTATTAAAAAAAAGAAATTATACATGGAAACATTACAGTGATGCACGTATTGCTTTATATTATATTTTTATACTGATACTATGCTGTTAAATATTTAATTCGCAATTTAATTATCAAAGGTTATTGATATCTTTAAAATTAAACTAAAGCATACGATAGTTTAATTTGGAACAATAAATTTCGCTTAAAACTTGTCACTAGCACATTATTATTATTTTCATGTAATTACATAAAGTAATTATGGTATTAATTAAAAACATCAACAAACGAATCAAAATGTTGCTCTTAATTAAAATGTCATTGAAACATTTAGAAAAACAAAAAAAAATTCTGCACAACTATTGACAAAGTCCTTCTACATTGTTAATTTCGATTGCTAAGGCATCTGAATCTAGCAAAACTACTGTCTGCATTGTCATAAAACAATACAAAAGCTCTCTATCTATCAAACAAGCAAAAGGATCTGGGTGAAAGAGTAGTTTTAAGAATAAGAAAACCGCAATAAGTATTTGACGATCATTCCCGCAAAACCCCGGCTTATCAAACAGAGTGCAAGCCAAAGGATATAAAGTTTCTTAAAGATTAAAATTTGTCAAGCAATATGCAGCTGCAGTTTGAAATCTCGAGCTTATGTCACATCGTCAATTTTAAACTTGAATGTTTACATCAAAGAATACTTGCAAGCTAGACTTTCGGAATTTTATTGAAGTCACAATGTCCTTGTTGGTTCTAGCCTAATCTTACTTCTTGTCATTATTCTAAGAAGAGTGACATCAAATTTTTTTCATACCAAAAAGCTTGAATCTATCAATTTGAACACAATTCCGTCCCATTGAGACGTTGATGTCGTTAATAAGTGTAAATGTTTGCTTATTTATTTGAAATAATAAAAATATTAAAGTAAAAAGCACTTTTATAATCTTTAAGCTCCTTAGATTAAAATAAATATTTTTTGTAGTTTTTGCATTAGTTGAACTATTTTTCATTTTTTTTTAATTTTTTATCGTTTTAAATTTAATGATCACATGCTTTACCCAGTGGGCATGGGACATACAAAAGATGTCTTTTAATCGTCTTTGGAGTGTTTTCAACGTCTTTTAAACGTTTTGGACAATTTTTGAACGTTCAAAATACGTCTTTTTTAGGTCCCTCAGTGGGGGCATAAGAAAGACTTCTTTTAAACGTCTTTTAAATGTCTTTTAAACATTTGAGATGCCTTTTGAACGTTTTGGACGTCTTTGGGACGTTCAAAAGATGTCTTTTTTAAGTACTGTGTCCCCTGGGTAGAATTAAAACTAAAATTTGAAACAAAAACTTTAGTTTTGGGTAAATAATATATAGAAAAAAGTGTTTATTTACCCCAAAAAAAATTCTTTTTAAATGTAATATCCTGTAGTAGTAATACAATAACCTTGTAATCATGAATCATGGTACAGTTTTGGGTTAGCCAATGTGATTTAAAAAAATAATTTAAAACGTGCAATTTTTGTTCATAAAGTTAAGGAGCTGGAGCCGAGCCGGGAGCCGAGCCGGCTATATATATATTTAAAAACATTTAAGTCTTTTGCGCATTTGCAGTTTTTTAAAAAACAAGCAAATTTAATTAGTTTCCTTAGTTAAATTTAATGGTTTAAACATAATCTGTATTTAATTTTGTCTTGTTACATGTCAAAGAGTAGTTAAGTTTCAATTTTTATCATAAACTTTAAAACCTTTACTATAGGTGTGTATATATATATATATATATATATATATATATATATTATATATATATATATATATATATATATATATATATATATATATATATATATTAGGCATTGCTTTAAAATTATATATCTTTAATAAGATTCAATCGTTATCTTGCTCTACAATCTCCATCTTTTCTCTTCCAGTAACTTCCAACACTTATTAGTGGTTGCTTGCAGCCTTTTTGGGAGCAAAGATGTTTAAAAATATATATATCAAAGTATAAAATGGTACCCCATTAAGTACACATTAAGCGGTTAAACATAAGCCATTTAAGGTAAGCCCTAAGCCATGTCAGATAAGTCACTTTTATCATTTTCAATTAAACAACTCTAAAGATATATAATATATATATATATATATATATATATATATATATATATATATATATATATATATATATATATATATATATATTGTTTAAGCGGTAAGATAAATGAAGTATTTAACGATTTTAGACCATTACATAAAAAAGTTTACATGACAATTACATTTAATATTATATTAACAAAGAAGTTTTTATTTCTATGACCCTAACTTTTCAATCAAAAATGATCATTTCAATCAAAAATGATCACTTTTCAATCAAAAATGATTGTTATAATGATTGATTTTATTTTAAAAAATAAAAAAACATTAATTATTATAAAATTTTAAGTGACATCTTATAAAGAGTTTATTTTTTTATAATTACAAAAAAAACTTCTTTTATGGATATAATAACTATTATTTTTTTCAAAATAATATTTTGAGGGAGTTTAGATTATCCTCGTTATCAAGAATAAATAAAATGGATAATGTTATCAAGTATAAATATTTAATAACAAGGATCTAACCTCCCTTGGTATATTGTATTGAAAAACTAATATTATAGTTATATCCATAGAAGTTTTTTATTTAATTAACTATTACGTTTATTAAGTATTTACAGTTAAAGCAATATAGCTCTTGCAATGTCTTTGTTTATATTTAAGTTTTATTTTGCGAAAAAATAATATTTTATAATAGTTATATCAGCTTTATACAGGGTTTTACACTGTGCTGAAAAAACTGGGGAAAAGGTTGTTATAGAAAAAAATGCTGAAAAACCAGAAAATCTATAGATTTTAGCAATGTCAATGCTGAAAAAACTGGAAAAAGTTTTTTTTATCAAAAAATGTTTGCTATTTATTATTCTGAATCGTTTGCTGATCTTTTAAAGGGATCCCTAAGTGCTCCTAACATATGATCACATATGAAAAAGCATAAAAAAATATATATATAAGTTTTTTTTCTTTTTCACTAAATTGTAATAATAAATGCATGCTAACAAAAAGCAATTGCCGAAATCACTGAAAAACAACTCCATTTTGATTTTCATTTTTTCACCATTGAAACTCTATTGTTAGTCATTAAAAATCACATTAGTACGTCACAACAACTTTAGAATATTTACTTTGATTTTCAAGTAAAAAAAAGTCGTGATTAAATAGTTAAGTTTTAATCAAGTTTTTTTAATTAGTTTTGCAAAAACAGTATAATAGCATTCGGTTGAAAGACGTTTTTAAAAAAAAGTTATTAAGTAATAGTTTTAAATAGTTTAGAACTTATAAAAAAGTCTTACAGGGCTCATATTAAGCGTATCGTGATCGCGATTGCTTTTCACACTTTTGTGTTTAGTTTTTTCTTTAAAAAAATCTTTTCACGATTTTTTTTTTGGTTGTTTAATTACTTTTTTTCTAGCTTAGCATTTTTTTAGCAATTCTTAAAAGTAATGTTTTTATCATAAAGAACGTCACACAAAATTTATTATTCTCAATAGATAGATGAATAGATGATTTGCAGAGATTGTCTTTC